AACAAAACCTACGTGCATCTGATATAAACATGAATACACATTTGGTTATAACTTGTAAAAAGGTTCCACCTAATATTAGGCAAGAACTTTTACAAAAATTTCCTATATCAAGTCAAACAAAAAAAACTAAAGCAGTATTAGATATTATTACTGGCGTACAACCACAAATTAATAGTAAATTTCAAATTATGAATACAATGGATCCTGGACAAGAAGAATTATGTCATAAAGCATTAACTCGATTTTTTGTATGCTGTGGAATTCCTTTTTGGACTGTCGAACATCCATTTTTTTTGGATTTTTGTAAAAATTTGAGTATATCATACAAACCACCCAATAGAAAAGCTTTAAGCAATACTTGGCTCAATTATGAAACAATAAGAATTACAGTCGCTATGCAAAAAGATCTTCAAAATGAAAAAAATCTTACATTAGGTAATATTAATAAGCAAATATAGAAACATCCATAGCAAAAGCAGAGAATAGAACTATATAATATATAGTTTCATCATCTGCTTTTGCTATAAGCGTTTCTATATTTAAAATTTGTATATTTCTTATATAATATATTTAAATAAATTAATATTAACCTATTATTATTAGCTTTAGACGGATGGACAAGCAATCGTGGTTACTCTTATTTTGCTTTTATTATTATAACTGCTAACAGAAAACAATATGTACATTCGATTAAGGATTTTTCTAGTGAATCACATACTGCAATTTTTACTGCTAATGAAATTGAAAAGGTTTTAACAGATATTGGTGTAGATAAATTTGGAGCTATAGTATCAGATGCTGCTTCAGCTATGACACTTGCCAAACAATATATTTCCAATAAATATCCAGCAATTTTACCTGTTAGATGTATTGCACATCATATTCAGTTGATTTGCAATGATATTATTTGTAAAACTTCATTTGGAAAAAAAGTATTACAACAATGTCAATCGTTTATAACATATTTTTATACATCTCATCGTTCTGGAGCAATTTTACGTAATGAAATAACTCGTTTGATGATAAATAAAGGTGGATTAAAAAGTTCTGTTTGTTCACGCTGGTCATCTGCATATGATTGCGTACAATCAGTTCTTAATACAGAAATTTGTATTAAACAGGTATGTATATCAATATATATATCGATATATGTCACATCTAAAGTAACGATTTATTTGAAGTAGCTACTTTAGATATATAAAGTAGTGTCTAACTAAAATTAAGACTCTGAAATTAGATTTTCATGCATGCATTAAATTATAATTTTAGTTAGAGGCTACTTCAGATAGGGTAGCTACTTTAGATATAATATATATATATAAATATATATTTATTATTGCTCGATTAAATAACTTTATTTTTTATACAAAGGTAAAGATATAGTTAAATAACAAATTGAACATGTGATTCTATAAAACTATCTGATCTTGCAATAATAATTACCTTATTATTTTGTTGACAAGCTTCTTAATAATTAATTATATAAATTTAAAATTAGATTTTAGAAGATGATAGTACGGCTTTAACACCAGAATTAAGAGATCTTACACGAAATCGGCAATTTTGGGCCAATGCAGAAGTTTTAGCAAAAATATTGTTACCTGCTAAAAATGCAGTTAAGATAGTTGAATCAAAGTCTACAACAACTGCTAATGTTTTTTTATTTCTTGTTCAAATGGCATCTACTATTAATATTCTTAAACAAAATAATTCATTAGAACATGTTGAATTTATTAAGCAATGCATTCAGTTTTATAACAAACGATGGAAAGAGTTTGATATAAAAACTTATCTTTTAGCATACTTTCTTCACCCAAAGTATCGAGGAAAAGGTATAAAAGGTTCTTTGTTTCATCAAATGTTATATACTGCGCTTGAAATATGGAAAAAAATTGGTAAAGGAGGAATAGAAATCGCAAATATTAGGTGGAACCTTTTTACAAGTTATAACCAAATGTGTATTCATGTTTATATCAGATGCACGTAGGTTTTGTT